TATTTAATAATATATTATATTATAAATTTATAATATGATATAATATTATTTTTATAGCATTTTGTTATTTTTTTGGTTTGTAGAGATGAAAGCTCCTTTATATATATATTGCAGGTAGATAATAAACTGACCCGATTGGAAAATTGGGCCACTACCATGTGAACAAAATGATCATACGGAAATATGAGGAGAGGCCACAAATAGTAGCTTTGGGCCTATTGACCCATGTAAATTGTGTTGGGCCTAGGCGTTGAGGGGGCTAGGTGTAGACCTGGTAAACGGGCAGGTTGGGTCAATTCGGGTGACGGATTATACTGGTGATGAAAGAAAGAAAATGTATATTTAAAGTGTGCTTAACCAATAACATTTGTGGAATTATGAGCTTAAGAGTTGTATTTTCTTATAAGTAATTTCATAAGTATTTATTTTATTTATGTTGTGTGAAATTTGTTGTGATTAAAGGTTTTATGTTAAATGGAGAAGAATTAGAAGAAGAGGACTTAAATGAAAAGAGCTGGAAAGATGAGAATCCAAGGATAAATCTAGAACTTTGAAGGCCAAAGTGAAATTTCTCCATTTTTCATTAAGAGCAAAGTTAGCAAAGTCCGTCAAGTTGCCATGACCAGTGCGAAAGGATTTCCAGTAGCATTAGGTTCCAACCCCTAGGCAGTGTTGCACAAAACAGAAGCAGCAGGGGTTCTGCACCCTCATTGAGGTCCAACCGCTGTCTGACAAGGCTGTGCGATAATAAACAAAAAAATAAAATTAATTCCCTAGGACTGGTATCCTAGTTACCAAACACTCCTATTTTATTTCTAATATAAATAAGAGTCTTTAAAATTAGGTTTGGCATCTAAAGAAGCAATTCCTAAACGCTTATTTTCTTCTTTTCTAGTGCTAGAAATTATGTCAGAGTGCAGCTAAACTCTCAACAAGGCCATGGACGATCTTAATTGAGGAGTTTGACTTGTTATTTTATTTTAATTCATTCATAGATTTTATTATTTAATTTTATTTTTGAGAGATTATTAATTATTTTTCAGATTTGAAAACCCTAAAAATTATATTTATAAAATTTCGTATATGATTAGTCATGTTCTTTTTATGTGTAATTTATTAGAATATAATTGATTAATAGATTTGTTTTGTGGGTTGATCCTTTACTGCAGTATTGTCGTTTAGATATATTGTCACTCTCGGATAACTCATAATGATAAATTAGTTTATTCTTCATTGAAATTAATTTCTCTTAAAATAAATACATTATTTATTATTATTGGTCTTCGCAGTTAAATCTTCCGATTGTTTGTTTGGGATGTGAAATATGCAATTGAGTAATAAATAGGAATCAAAATTTATAACAGTTAAACAAATCAATTAAGTGAACCCTGAAGTCTTGTTCATCATAATATTGTTTTCAATCTTTTATAATTATCATATTTTATTTAAATATTTCTATTCTTTATTTTAGAATTCATCTTTTAATTTAATTTTTCATTATGACAACTCTTTTTATTGACTTAATATAGCTTCTCTGTGGATTCAACACCTAAAGTTACACTACAACAATTGCTTGACCGAAGGGTTTTAATTTTGGGGCGAGATACCAAAAATTTGGTGCCGTTGCCGAGGAAGCCAAGTCGACAATTAGAGTTTGAACATTCTTCACTTTTCTTTTATTTCTTTTATTTGTTTCTTTTCTTTAGTTTATTTTACTTTCTTGCTTTTATTTTATTTTCTTCATCCAAAAAAAAAAATCATTAAAGTGTACGAATAGACCGAGAGGCAAAAAAGGGAGGTTTATTAAATTAGATCTACTACCCTTTCAAAAAAAAGAAGTCGAGTCTAATTCATCCTTTATTTTGAAACCATGAGTCAAGACGGGGATCAACCTATTAGGACTTTGAAAGACTACTTACACCCCACTAGAACAGCTACACCATCATGCATAATGTTTCCTCCTAATACACCACACTATAAGTTTAAACCTGGAATGATTCAACTTTTGCCTAGTTTCCATAGTTTAGAGAATGAAAATCCATATGTGCATATTAGGGAGTTTGAGGAGGTCGCAGCAACTTTTCATAGGTAAGTTGACACGATAGACACAATTAGGTTGAAATTCTTTCCCTTCTCCTTGAAAGACAAAGCTAAAATTTGGTTATATTCTTTGAGACCGAGATCTATAGGTACATGGGCAGAGATGACTCAAGCTTTCTTTAACAAGTACTTTCCGCATCATAAGACTAATAATTTTAAAAGACAGATCTCCACATTTTCTCAAAAGGATAGTGAAACCTTATACCAAGCATGGGAGAGGTTTAAAGAATTACAAAACTTGTGTCCCCATCATGGGTATGAAACTTGGAGGTTGGTTAGTTATTTCTATGGGGGTTTAATTAGTAAGGAGCGTCAATTCATAAAGATGATGTGTAATGGGGAATTTTTGCATAAGGACTCAGAAGAAGCCATAGATTATTTAAATGAGTTAGCTGAAAAAGCTCACACTTGGACAGGACCTAGTGCAACTGAGAGTACTAATAGGTCATGATCATCTAGGATTTACCACCTTAAGGAGGAAGATAACCTTAGAGCCCAATTGGAAGCTACAACTAAGGAACTTGAGACATTAAAAATGAAAAATAATAGTCACCCACACAGTTGCAAAGGTAGAAGCTCAGGCTCCATGTTTTGTTTGTGGGGGATTGGATCATTTAGCTCAAGATTGCCTAACCTATGGTGAGATAAGAGGGGTGTATGAAGAACAATGTAATGCATTAGGAATGGGTAGGGAACTTTTTTCACCCTATTCAGAGACATACAATCCTAGTTGGAGGAACCATCCCAATTTTAGTTGGAAGGCTAATCAAAACCATCCCACATCATTTAGCAATACTTGCAGTAGTGAAGCTCAACCACTCAGGTCTTACCCTACACCTCAATATAATGCCCAACCAAATAGGAATCCTTTAGAGGAAACACTTAAGGCATTTATGAAGGCCCAAAATAAGACTAACCAAAAGTTTGATTCTATTCTTACATAGGTGGTTGAAGAAAACAAGGATATCAAGAGTCAACTAACTAAGTTGACCAATGCTCTTATTGTCCAAAAGCGAGGTAAGATTCCATCTCAACCTCAAACTAACCCTAAAAATTTACATTTGGTGTAGGAATCTACCTCTAGTTCAAATAACATTAAAGGGATCGACACAATCATGACTCGTACTGGTAAGGTTATAGAGCCATTGCAAAAATCACCTCAATTGAAAGACGTTACTCCAAGTAGCCATGAAGACGACCTGTTGGAAGAACCTAAGAAGGAGGTTCCAATTCGAGTTCCTTTCCCTCAGGCTCTTAAAACTGGAAAGATTTCAGACAACCAAGGTGAGATTTTAGAAAATTTGAAACAAGTTAAGATTAATCTACCTTTGTTGCGTATGATTAAATAGGTACCAATTTATGCCAAAGTGATCAAGGATCTATGCACCATGTCAAGAAAATTGCATTATGGACAGAACAGGTAAGTGCGGTGATTGAGCAGAGAACACCGTCAAAGTGCAAAGATCCAGGGTGCCGAACAATTGCTTGCCAAATTGGGTCACGAGAGTTCGGTCAAGCTCTTTTGGATTTAGGAGCAAGTGTAAATTTAATGCCTTATTCAGTTTATTTGTAACTAGGTCTTGGAGAGATAAAACCCACATCCATGGTGTTACAGTTGGCTGATCATTCTTGTAGGAAACCAAGAGGGATAGTAGAAGATGTTTTGCTTCAGATTGATAAATTTTATTATCCTATTGATTTTCTTGTTTTAGATACTTAGTTTGAAGTTGATAGTGAGTCAAAAATTCCACTTATTTTAGGAAGGCCATTTCTTGCTACTGTAATGCTCTTATTAATTGTAATAATGGTTTGATGAAACTTTCATTTGGGAATATGACTCTTGAGGTGAATATTTCTCATGTTGGGAAGCAACTACATGATGATGATGAGTGTTATCAAACCTACATGATAGATTCACTGGTTGAGGAAGTATATGAAAGGGAAATTTTTGAATCTTTAGAATACCTTCTTGGTGACTCTGATTTAGATGCTGACTTTTTGAACTATCTTGTTAATGATCATTCTAATGTTTATTTTATTTCTAATGTTATGCAGGATAAACACAAAAAATTTTTATAGCCACACTTTGAGGAGTTGCTATATGATGAGAAACATTTGAAGCCATTTACAATGGAGATGCCAAGTGTAGAGTTATCCCCACCTTTTGAAGGATTGAAGCAGACATTGTTGGGAGAGTCTTTAAAATTATTGGATAATGGTTGAGACGTTATATGGAGCGAGTAGACCAACTTGAGGAGATCATTCTTGTGGCTCTCATCTATGAGGCTTAATCAGGTTCTATCTTGCCATCATATCATTTTTTTCCTTTTGTTTGTTTTTCTTTTTCTTTTTCATAGCTTTTCTTTTATTAGTTATTTTTTTTAGGTTTCTTTTCCTAGCTACTACATTTTTAGGCTTGCTTTTAGTTCTTTTATTTTATGCCAGTGAGGACACTGTCTCATTTAGGTTGGGGGTGGTAGCATTGCATGCACATTTTAAGCACACTATTTATATACACTCTCTTCAAATAAAAAAAAAAAAAAGACAAAAGAAAAAAAAAAGAAAGAAAAAAAGGACCAAAAATTTTTTTTTTTTTTGCTTATTCCTTTTACTTTGGTAATTCTTGCATGAAAGGGTTTGCAAAGCATGATTATTTTTGCTTTTCTACCTAGGTATGATTTCAAAATTACTTGGTTTAAGTCACTTTCTCTATTTTGATTATTAAAGAGTAACTTCTAAAAACTTTTTTGCGTAGAAAACTAAGCTTTGCGGTTAGATGGATGTTCAATATGTATAGCCAAGAGAATTAACAGGTTTAAGCACATAATTTTTTATACACTCACACATCTTTTGTGAGTGAGTGGAGAGTTGAGAAAACAACTTATGAACTTTCATTGCTTAGTTGAATTGGTAGTTGCTATTTAGAAGGTCACTACTCATTTGGAGGAATGGTTGAATGATTAGTTTAAAAAAAAAGAAGAAGAAGAAGAAGGAAAGAAGAAAAAAAAAGACAAAAGAAAAAAGAAAGGACAAAAAAGAGAGAGAAAAGAGAGAGAAAGAGAGCTATTGTTATTAAATGTGAAGCCTTTGGAATAGTTAATGTGATATTAGTTATGTGAGAAATTTTATGCTTTCCCTCCTTTGTTTTAGAAGATTCAAAAAAAAAAAAAAAAAAAAAAAAAAGCAGAATGAAAAAGAAAAAGAAAAGAAAAAAAAATTCTACCAAATAAAGTCTTCCATCAATTTAGAGGACAAATTTTCTTTTGAGGGAACAGTTTTTCTCACTGGACTCTACTTTTATTGCTCTCATATTTAATTGATTGAAATCTTGAAGTTAGTGTATGGCAAGAGTAGTGGAATTCTAAATAGCTAACTAAACTATCTTCTAATCAATGTTTGTTTGTTTGATTGTCTGCTGAATTTTGCCCTTCTCCTTTGAGTGACTTGCTACCTTCCAATTCCATGAGAGAAATCCTTTGCCTTAAACAGTTATTAACCCATGAGGATATGGAGTTGAGGCTTTTATTTTGATTAATTATCAAGGCTATATATGTTGTGGTTTGTGGTACGAAGGTTATCCTTAGTTCACACACATACACTTTTGGAAGTTACAATTGAAGTAATCTTAATAGTGACTGTGATCTTTTTCTAAATACCTAGGTAGTCTTGCTATATATCCATTTGAGCTAATTAGCATGCTTTCTTTCTTAATTCACGCTTGAATTGTTAGAGACTAGCAATAAGCTAGTTGAGGGTTTTGATGAAAGAAAGAAAATGTATATTTAAAGTGTGTTTAAACAATGACATTTGTGAAATTATGGGTTTAAGATTTGTATTTTCTTATAAGTAATTTCATAAGTGTTCATTGTTTACGTGCCAAAATGGATGGAGTCGCCATTTATCCAAATGAGGTGAGATAGATCATCAAGGTCTACGCAAAAATTGACTAAGTTCAGAGGATCAATTAAGCATGGGAAAAGTGTTAGACACCTCACAACTTCCAAATAATATGGTTACCACATATTTTAATTTTGGGGAATTTTCAATTTTATATATCAAAATAATAATAATAATTACCCAATAACATGAAATAAAATAAAATAAAATAAAAACTTCAAAAACCCCATTACTGTCCTTTTCCGTCCCTTTTTTTTTATTTATTTTGATTCTTCTTTTATTTATTTATTTATTTATTTATCCATAATAGCTACCCAAAAAAAAACTTCAGAAAAATTAAACTAATACTGTTCATCATCATCCACCTTTTCCGTGGTTCCCGTTTCTTTCGTTTTTTTTCCTTTTTCCCTTTTTTTCGTTTCTGCTTCTTTTCTTCTTTTATATATATATATATATATATATATTTTTTTTTTTTTTTTCTGCAGCTTTCCTTTGCTTTCGTTTCTGTTTCTGGACTTCTTATATTTTCTTTTTCTGCACTTTTTTTTTATGCCTAAAGCCGCTTCATACCCCTAAGAAAGTATCCTCTTTTTTTTATTCTTCTTTGTTTTTTTATCTAATGAATCTCTGAATAATAACAGATCTAAAAAAAACGCCATAAAAAAAAGACACCAAAGCTGATATTTTTCAGAGACTAAAAAAATTGCAAGCGATTACTTTGGATCACAGGAAACCAACTAATGTGAGGGTGGAAACAAATGAAATCAGATTTGCAGCCAGGACCCAACCCATAAACACTTATCGCAGGCAAACCGTGAAGGAAACAAAAAAAACAAGCAATTACTGATAACAAAGAAAAGAAGAAGAAGGACAAAACATGACAGAAAACACTAAAAAAAAAAAATGCACACCTGAAGAAAATAGGAAAACTCAAGCTTTATTTTCTTGAAGTTCTGGTACAAGTTTTTGATTTGCCTTTCTTCTCTACTCTCTTTCTCCCTCTCGGTCTCTCCAATGTTCCTTCCGAGCTTCACCAATTTTTTCTCCTTCTCTCTCAATTTTTCGAATCCCAAATTTTCCTCCCGTTTTAGAAGCCGAAGGCCCCCTTTTTATAGACAAAAGGAAAACCCAATCCTAATGTGCTTCTAATACTCAAATCCCAATCCCTAAGATAACAACTCAATCCTATTTGGAATGGGATTTCTTAGTTTTCCCACATCTACCCCTTTTCTAGTCTAGATTCATACCTTTTATGCTTAGAACTCCCTTCTTTGAATCAATTTCGAACTCTTCTTTTGCGCCTCTTGTTGATGACTTTCAATCTCCGTAAATTTCTTCAAGACTTGAGTAGATTTAGGGATAAGTCAAGAAAATTTTGTGATTTTTCTGTTTTGAGAGGGGCTGGCGACAGGGCAAAGAAAGAAACGGGTTTGGGTGGCTAGGGTTTTCAATCTTTATTTTAGCTTACAAGAAAAACGACGTCGTTTTGCTAGTTTCTCCTCTCAACCCTTCAAGCTTCACACTTTTTGCAAAAATGGTCCGTAAGCTTTTACTTTTATCATTTAGCCCCAATTAAAATTGGGTTATGACATTCATTTTATTCATGTTGTGCGAATTTTGTGGTGATTAAAGGTTTGACGTTAAATGAAGGAGAATTAGAAGAAAAGAACTTAAATGCAAAGAGCTATAAAGATAAGGATCCAAGGATAAATCTGGAACTTTGAAGGCTCAAGTGAAATTTCTCCATTTTTCATTAAGAGCAAAGTTAGCAAAGTTCGTGAAGTTGCTGTGACCAGCGCGAAAGGATTTCCAATAGCATCAAGGGTTCCGCAGCCTGTATCAGGTTCCAACCCCTAGGCAGTGTTGCACAAAATAGAAGCATCAGGGGTTCTGCACCCTCATTGAGGTTCCAACCCCTATCCGACAAGGCTGCGCAGGAAGAAAGAAAAAAAAAAACAAAAACAAAATTAAATCCTCAGGGCTGTTATCTTAGTTACCAAACACTCCTATTTTATTTCTAATATAAATAAGAGTCTTTAAAACTAGTTTAGCATCTAGAGAAACAATTCTTAGACTTTTATTTTCTTCTTTTTCAATGCTAAAAATTATGTAAAAGTGCAGTTAAACTCTCAACAAGGTTAGGGAAGATCTTAATTCAGGAGTTTAACTTGTTATTTTATTTTGATTCCTTTATAGATTTTATTGTTTAATTTTATTTTTTAGATATTATTAATTATTTTTCAGATTTGAAAACCATAAGAATTATATTTATAAAATTTTATATAAAATTAGTCATGCTCTTTTTATGTGTAATTTGTTAGAATATAATTGATTGATAGATTTGTTTTGCAAGTTGATCCTTTACTATAGTGTCGATTAGATATGTTGTCGCTCTCGGATAGTTCGTAATGATAAATTAGTTTGTTCTTCGTTGAAATTAATTTCTCTCAAAATAAATACATTAGTTATTATTATTGGTCTTCACAGTTAAATCTTTTTATTGTTTGTTTGGAATGTGAAATATGCAATTGAGTAATAAATAGGAATCAAAATTTATAACAGTTAAACAAATCAATTAAATGAACCCTGAAGTCTTATTCATCATAATATTGTTTTCAATCTTTTATAATTATCATATTTTATTTAAACATTTTTATTCTTTATTTTACAATTCATCTTTTAATTTAATTTCTCATTGTGATAACTCTTTTTGATGATTTAATATAGCTTCCCTGTGGTTTTGATACCTAAAGCTACACTACAACAACTGTTTAACCAAAGGGTTTTAATTTTGGTGTGAGATACCAACGGGTTGGGTCGCCAACAGGTCACAGGTTGAGAAAAAATAACCCTAACCCAACCTTAATGGGTTACGGGTTAACTCATGGGTTGATGCTTTTGTAAGTCATTAAATAAGAAAAAAAGTTAAAAATTAGAAACTAAAAGGGAGATGAGGCAATATTGTAAGCCATGTAAAAAAATCATAAAATGAAATCAAAATAATAAGGAAGTGGAATAGAATCAACTGAAAATTGATAAAATCCAATAAAATAAAATCTATTTTTAGATAAAAATAGAATAGGATTTCAAATTAAATTAAGTTAAATAAAATCAAATATTGAAACTGAAAATTGAATACAAAAACATCCAAAATGCAGAAAAAAAAAATTAGAGATCTGAAACACCCATACCTTGAACATGGAAGAATTAGGCTTGAGAGAAAATAAGGGAGGCGGATGAATGTTCAGAGGGAGAGGAAGTGTTAAAACAAGTGGCTGGAGAAGTGATTAAGATAAGTGAGGGATATGGAAGATTGAAAAGGGAAGAAGCAAAGTCTGCCGTGGAGGGTGAGTACTGAGTAGACATTGGGGTTAGGGATTTTTGAGCAGTGAACCGAATAAAGCATGAAGATGAAAGAGTTCTGCAGTGAGTTGGTGAGGTGGAGTGGAGGCATGAAAATTGGGCCATCATAATTAGCAATAAATAGAGTTAATTGGTTAAAACATTTTTTTTTATTAATAATAATAAATAAGGCCATTATTTATTATTATTGGTAATAAATAGAGTTAGTAAACTTAAAAATATTTTTTTGCCAAAAAAAAATTACACAGGTCAACCTGTCAACCCGCGGGTTGACTAATTTGTGATTTGTGACTTGTTCGGGTCAAATTTATAGATTACTAACGAGTTACGGGTTGAAATATATAGATTTTAACCCTTTTTTACGATCAAATTTAGGTCGGTTTCATAAGTTGGGTTGATTTTTGCCAGGCCTAGGTAGGTGCCATATTCTGCATGTGCTCCAAAAGTCTATGGCTGCTATTTTAACCATTTCCAAATGGCAGCCTTGTTTAGTTTAGACTTAGAGATTTATTAATCTCTTCCTAATTTAACTTTTGTGTATTAATTTCACCATGCAGGGCATTCTTAATTAGGGACAGGTGGGTGATCGGTTGTTGTTGCATATATGGCATAAAAAGGTGCCACGTGCACGATGACTTGGCCACATGCAATTTCATAGGCACCAGTGCATCACCCATATTACTCAAGGAAACAAAAATTTTTCCATAGTTTTTAATGCAAATTTTCTTCAACTTCATTTTACATATAGTAAGTATACAATTTTACTTGACATGTGGGGATGAGAAGAATTTGAATATAAAACTTTTTACAACTTCAGTTTGTCTTTAAGGTTTCATAAGCAACCTTTTACATTTAATTTCTTTTTTTTCTAAAGAAAAAAAGTGAAACAAATATAAATGAGATTGAAAAGAAAATTAAGTTACCTTTATATTATTCCCTCTATCCGAAAATAGCTGCTGTTTTTTTACTTTGAGTTTGTCTTAAATTAATTATTATTTTCTTTATTTTTTAAGGTAAATAAATATTTTTTATTTTAACTATATCAATATTTATTTATTTTAATTAATTATCCTATCACAAAAAGTATCACTTTATACTTTAACTTTTTT